AGAGGGACAGCGCAGGAGGGGAAGACCCTCTATGAGGTAGATTGATTCAGTGACTGGGGTAATCGGGATGGGTGCATCAGAGGCAATGCGATTGGCACAGGATAGAGCAGGGTTTAGGGCTGTTGTACATAGGGTCGCTATGAGTCGCAAAAGACTCGCTGGCACATAACAACAAACAACAATGGTGGTCTACTGGTAAAGAGCTGCTTCCAACCAGAAGGTCTATGGTTCAAATTCACCAGATGCTCTGTAGGAAAAAGATGGGCCCTTGCCTACCATGTGATTTACTGCCTCTGAAAACCTACTGGGTTTCAACCATGGTCAGTTCCACTCAAAAACACACAATATCATAAAGAGAAACTAAGTCACAATATGATGCATGTCATAATAGAGAGCTCAAAAAAATCATGCTGACTGAAATACGCCAATAGCAAGAAGACAACAGAAACCAAAGGTTATCAGTAATATCAGTTGCACTGAATGGAGGAGGATGTTGGCTTAGAGGTGGAGGCAGGTGATGTTAACAGTGGTGGAGTGATCTGGAATCGAGCGTCCCACTTAAAGAACAGGCTCACTGTTAGTGAAGTATGCAGTGCAGGCAGGATTTGTTTGTTTTCTATACAAGCTTAAATCAGGGAGCCTGGTGACAAAACCCTGGTACCAGATACTCTAGTGGCATAACTTCACTGGCAGCTCCACCAGAGAAAGAGGGAACATCGCCTCACGTGTAATTCCAATTCTCCTCCAACGCTTCAGTGGGTTTTCTGAGGCTGTAAATCACACGGGAGAAGACTGCCTAGCTTTCTCCCATAGAGTTACTGGTGGAGAGAGGTACTGCCATTGGGTTAGCACAGCAGCTGCCTAGACTGCCACCAGGGCTCCCTGCCTCTACACTTTACAGCCTTGGAAACCCAACAGAGGGTTAGCTGTGAGCTGGTTCCAACGTGAGGCAAAAAAGGAGACGTTTCAATAAACTGGAAAAAAATTTCTTTTCAGTCTTTGAGATTTTAAAGAGAGAAATATGTTCATACTTCCTTAGGAGTATTTGGTCCCACAAGGTGAGACATATATCTGTTTCTATTGCAACCACACTTAACTATGACAGAAAAAAGGTGACAAGACCCAGAACTCCAGGAGAACAGGACACATAGAAGAGGCACAGAGTGGGAGTGACAGTGGTAGGAGTGACAGAGAGGGAGGCTGAGGAGCCAAGGGAGTAAGCCAAAGAGCCAAAACCACAGGTACCTTTTTCAGAAAGGTTGCAGCTGTTTCTCTCTTTGTTGCTGTGATCCGCTTCACACCCTCAGGGGACTGGACTCGGATTATCTGTTGTAAATAAACAAGGTGGTAACAGAAAACAGGTCCTGAGAGTGGCAGGAGAGAAGCACTGAAGCATCTTAAGACAACAGGCAAACTTCAAACACTCAAGAGAAAATCCACTATGATTTCATTTTAGTAAAAAGATTACAAACAAATCCAGGCTTTTAATATCAGGGTAAAACCTGATGAAGTTTTAAAAATTATTTTGACAAGCCTGAAATGAGGGGAGGCCTGGACAGAAAGCATCACGATCCGGGACTGCTGATTCTGATCAAAGCCTTGACCCTCAAGTTCCTGTTGTAAAGTCAAGGAGCGTGAAAGGGCATGGTTGCTGCACACAGATGGCAGGAGGAGGGACAGGAGAGAAAGTGACAAGGGCTGTCAGACAGAGCTCTGTCATCCCCTTTGGTAGCCACTGGACCAGGCACTGGACTTAAAACAGTGACTGCACATTAAAAAAAAATCACGGGGCGGGGAAAAAAAAAAAGAGAAAAAAAAAAAAAAAAAAAATCACAAGTTACATTTACCAAAAAAAAAAAAGTCCGATTCACCAATGGGTGGCAAAATGCTATGAAGGTACAGGATCTCCTGAACATTATCTGCCTTATGATTCAACTATTTTTTTTTTTTTATGATTCAACTATTTAATAATCCAGACTTTTTCTCTAAAACAACTTGAGCCTGTCTCTTTTTTATTTTCTAACAATTTTCACTTGACTAAAAAACTTAGCTCCATCAGGCTGTTCTTCATCGTTAAGGACTGTGTTGGATAATGTGTAAGAATATAATATCCTAAGGGAGCTCTATGGCCTGGTGGAAAGTTGTGCAGCAATCCCAAAGGCATGTGGTCCAAATCCACCAGATGCTCCACTGGAGAAGGAGGGACAAACGTCTGTGCCAATCGGATCTGATTCAATGGTACACAGCAAGTTTAAAAAAAAAATCCATTTTTCTCACTCGACTGTGTGGAGAGGAAATGGGAGAGCAATTATTAAATTAAACACTTGCACTTGTCTCTGAAACACACCTCCAAAACTGAGACATGTTAAGAAGAGTAAATGTGGGACTTGGCATCCATTCTGAGGAGCTATGCTCAGGAGAGGTGGTATGCACAAGTTGCAAAAACGAAATACGGCCTAGCGGCAAGAAGGTGTACTGCAATCCCAGAGGTGCATGGCTCAAATCCACCAGATGCTCTGCTGGAGAAGGAGGAACAAT